ATATATATATATATAATCATACAATACAATGGACATAATTTGTTATTATGGTTGAAAGTTTTTTCATGTTAATTTGCATCTCATATTTAAAAATTATGCGTAACTTGATTTAGAAAAAATTTGAAAAAAGATTTATAGATTAAGGATAATATGAACTTGCGAACATAGTATCTTTATGTTTGTTTGAAATTTTTTTAAAAAATATATTTATAACTATTATTCATTTTCGAGAAAAACAAAAACAGTTACGAACAAAATATTTTACAATTTTATTCACAAAATGAAAGGATCAAAATATTATAATTCTCATCGGAAATTGAGAAGTTGTTTTTTTTAACTCATTTATAACTTCCATTTCAACTCTTATTTGTTTTTATTTCCTTTATTTTAAATTTTAATAATATTTCTAGGAATGTTAAAATTCAGTCAAATATATTTTTAAACATTTCGCAAAATAACAGTAATAATATTTTGGAGAATGTGATCCTGATATTATAATATCATACTTTAAACAAACTCTCCTTAATAATTTGTTTGAATGATGAAAGATTTTAAGAAGAAAAAAGATAAACAGAAAAAAAATAGAAGAAAAAATATAGAACGAGTAAAAAATAATAGATTTTTAAGTGGCTTTCATAAAATATTGTTTCATGAGAGGGAAGTTTTTAAACGTGTGGGTCCCACCAAATTCTTCTATTATTTGTCTTTTTCCTTTTTCCAAACAATAAAAAACTTTATTCTTTCTCCTACTTTTTTTTCTTCTCAAAATCTACCTAACCAAACAAATCATAAATGACTATACTCAAGGGTAAGGAAAAATCTCAAGATGAACAGTTATGTGTATTAAGTATTCTAAAAGAATTAAAATAATGTTTTAATTAATTAAACAAGTTTTATAAATATTTTAGAGATTTTTAATAATTATGAGTGTTTTTAATAAAATAATAAATATTTTTAAAATTGTTTTGTATAATATTTATTAGATAAATATGTATTTTTATGATATTTTATTATATATTTTGTTAGAGATGTATGTGTTAAGTTATAATGCTTTATGCATTATATTTTATTTTATTTTATAATTGTTTTAATTAAAAGAGATGAGAATTAAGTTTTTAAAATAGAGGTTTTAAGGGAGATGGAGTAAATTTACATTTTTCTATGCTTACATTTTTTTCTTTTTGGAATAGAAGAAATGCTTAGAGAATAGGAAGAAGTTCATCTTACGTTCATGGAGATAATAGAGGAGTGAGAACCTCATTCCAAGGTGTGTGTTATTTGCAAGGTAGTGATGTTGACCCGTAATCTCGTCTTGTTTGTATATGATGCATGAGGGAGAATTTTTAATCTTTGATTGTGATTTGTAATTCTGTGTTATATGTTAATCTTTATGTATTCTAGTTGTGATGATTGATAATAATCATGTTTCTGATCTGTACAATTGCTTTATTTATAAATCTATGAGTGTTTGTGGATTTTTAGAGGAACCTTAAGGATGGAAGAAAACAAATTATTAGGAGTATTATGTGTGAGTAGGAAAATTTGTTAGGTTGGAATGAGTTATTTATGTTGTAGATATACCTTAATTATTATTGTTCCCAACAATTACCGATTAAATTTTTAAAAACATGTTTGTTTGAATTGCCCAAAAATTGTAAATTTTGTAGACATGTATGAACTAATATCGTGTTAGCTAGGCACCATGAGAGTTGTTAGGCATGGAGCTTGATAGAGAGCGTGAGTCATTCTTTGTGACATTCACATCGAGCATTGCAACATAGTATCGTACTTCCTAATTTAAGTGGTAAAACCTGATAAATCCGTCTTCCTTATGTTAGTCATTATTTCTAATCTTGTGCTAATCACTATTTCTGCCTTAGTGTCAATTATTGTATTATGATATCATACTAGTCGCTAAGATTTGGTAAGTCAAGTTACTTAAACTGCTCACCTCAATTGTGGGAGATCTTTAGAGTTGATATGCGTGATGACGTATCAATTGTATATCTATGTTGTTCTCTTGAATCTATTAAGTGGATTGAAGTTGTATGAGTGATTGTATTGCTCTAATTGTTTGTGATGTATTGGTACTTATCGCTGACTATGTTGTTTCTTACATAACTAATGTTGGTTATATATGTATATAAGTATGTAAATGTTGTTAAGCTGTGTATAAGTTGTTATATGATGAATGGTGTGAACGTAATATTGTATGAAGATGAATTATTGTTTGATAACGATGATAAAATTACCTAAGTTGTATGGTTGCTTAGGTACTTTGAGTTGCATGACAAGACATGATGTAATGTAATAAATGATGTTCCTTTTAAGTTGCTTATGTTGCATGTTTTTGTATGACATTGTTTTTGTATTACAAACTTACCCTATATTTTTTCTTGTAGTTTGGGATTGCTATGATCATATTTAGCTAGGATAAGATTAGCAAGTTACGTTGTATTGTTTGATAGTGAGTCATGCCAGAGGTGATTCTCTTTTGAATGTTGTTATCCTAAGATAATTAAGTCTTGTATACACACTTGACTGACAATCAGGTTTATTTTGTACACAGTAATTGCTTTTTTTTTGTATGAAATATGTATATATATTTAGGAACAATTGTTTTATTTCTTACATGTATGTTTGCTTATATAAGATTTACCTCCTTATTGTATGATATGATTGACATATTTGATGTTGATAGTTTCATTTAATTATTACTAAATCATAATAAGTGTAATGATAATATCACTAATTATAAACATAATTTATCATGAACTTTATTTATATCGTCTATAAAATAAGTTAAAATGTACAATTTTCATCGAATAATACAACTAAAATAAATATAGTTGTAATATAATGTAAACGTACTACACTACAAGTACATCAAATTCAATCATCACCTAGTGTCAATTACAACATGATGGAGTGTCATTTTCAATATCACTTCTAGTGGCAACATATTCATAGGAGGAACATCTTCCTCCAAATCCATCGCATTCAAAGCAACTAATTCAAGAAAGAGGTCTAGATAATGTGTGATCGTATATATTGTTCTCTTCCATTAATTCAACTAATATTGAGAATGCCTATATATAACAATATCCTGTCTCAATAGAAATAAGTAAATAAGCAGAATTTATCCTTCCAGTTCCAACGCAAGCTACGTGGCTATCAAAGTTCAATCTAATAAGTAGAAGTAAAATCAAATAGCAAAATAGGAAAAATAAAATTGCTGAAATATAAAAAATGACATGCAGGAAACCTAGTTATGTATCTAATAATTTGTCAAATCCCTTTGCCTCTTTCTTCAATAAGAATGACCAAATCAGGGACACAATTTCTCAGTAATGCTAATAATTTCAAACCATTTTTTTTATCAATAGAAAAGAGTAAAAAAACAACAAAATGTGTACATAAAATTTGGTATATATTATTCCAACTTGATTATTTGCTTGATTCTAATGCTTCAATTTCAAGTCATTTAATTATGAACAGTTATTTATCTTAGATTATTTAGACTTATATACTGTATTGTAGT